ACACATCGTCTCGACATACTTTCTGAAACAATTCAGTGCAAATTAATATCTGATATGAAAAATTGTTGTCTGCAAATCTTATATCAATACGCTTGACATATTCCAAACAATGAGTTAACAAAGTTACAATCATAAAATACTTTGCAACGGTCGATTTCTTCGGCGATTCGATCTACTTTGCGAGCTTTCTTTTCGTCTTTCGATTTTTTGAAGCAATTTCCTTTGTCTGATCAGCCGTCGACATAGCCGAACACGAGCTCTTTCAACAGGTTTCCGCATAGAAATGATCTGAAATAAGTGGTTTTAATCAAATTAAAAATTTTAAATTGAAACAAGCAGAAAGAGCTAATAATCTAAAATAACAATAATCAATAATCTGGGAATATGAAATAACAATAATCAATATTCTAGCAATAATCTGGGACTGCAACCTTTAAACTTGGTTTCCATTTAACTAATAATCAAGTAACAATTCCGACTCTACCGAAGAATATAATGTATTCAGCTATAACAAATCTCAAAAGCGTTACTAAGATCCCCGTAAACTTCCAAACTTCCCAACTACATCAAATATCCCAATAATGCGACCTGTTCGTTAAGTTTCATTGGTGTCAAGGTAGACATAGTAGTCTGTGATCCTCTGAATCAATGATGCGATATAGTCCTCGTTCTAAAATAATCATAGATTGAATTCGAATGCTTCAACAACCAATTCATATAGAAGATATTTGACTAATTTATCGATAAGTTGATCGTATTCATTGTGAAATGATTGACATTATAACGTCTTTCAAGGTATGTGATACGAAGTAACTATTGAGAATTAATCCAGGTGGCACAGCATCCAAATCGTGTTCCCTTTTCTAGTAATTTACTTGAAGTAAAAAAATACATCTCAAAGTGATAATGATAATTATTGGGTCTAAAAGGACATGAAACCCAAAAAATTAAATGATATGCAAAAACAATCTAGAAGATTCACTGTTTATCCATATATACAACCGATAATTTGAATTACCAAGAAATAATACATTCAACAGATAACATATAATATAAATAACTTGCAGCAAATTTATACATTTCATATTAATTGATGAGTTCGAAATAACATATTTTCTTTATTAGTAACCCGCTTAATGCTTTGTTCATTTTTCCGCACAGTTATTTGTGAAATAATGCTACAGCATCTGATAATTTTACGCCTTCCGATGGGAAATCTTTAGCAAAGGGATTTGGTGGTGGTATAGCATTTGGAAGTCGTGCAAGTTCTTCCAGTGTACGACCTTGATTTGAATGCTCGTATAGAAATACGCCAGGGTACCTGAAACGAGTGAAACAAATTATATATATTGACATAATTTTGGAAACTTGATAAAGAACAAAACTAATGTTGCAGATTAAAACCATTACTAAACTCCATGGAAACTTATAATTTATTATCACGAGCAGTTTGTAGTAATAGAAGAATCTAAGGTACCAGAAACAAGTCTTTGTTACATTTGCCCGATCAATTAAACTAGAATACCGCATTGAAAGGTGCGCAGCAAAGTACTGCCACAATAGTAGTACACCATATTATTGTAAAGCAAAAGAGACGCCTTAAAAAGTACTTTCGGCAGTGTTCCTCATAAACATAGCATATGTCAGCAAACTGTTCTACTCCAAGACATATTGCAGTAGTTGTAGGGTCGATTCTACATCGCCTCAACAAGTCATCAGCCAAATTTTTCGCCAGTTCTTCCGGATAAAGACTTCTAATTCCTTTGACAACATATTTTTGTCTGTAGTTAAAAACACGCCGGCAAACTTTTTCTACCACCTGAAATGTTATATAAGCGTATTCGGTTTCATGTCAGGTAAATGTAACATCATTTCTGTGATCAATTTAGTATTATTATTAACTAATCAGAAGCAGCAACTATTGGCCTCATATAACAATTATTACTATCAATAACGATTTTTCAATAATGCACGCTTGCACATTATTAGCTTATCAATACGAAAACGTGCGCTATCTAGAGATTCAACAGATGTATTTATCAATAACATTAAAGAAATTTTAACAACACTTAAAATTTGTCAGTTTTAAAAGAAATCGATACATTTACTGACAGAATTCGAATTCCAAAAATTTCGGCGAAAAACAAAAATTTGATTTCCAGCGTTCAAAAATAAAATTTAATGGACACAGATGAAAGATTATATATTATTATCGCTGAAAAGTAAAAGTGTATAATCAATACCCCGTTCTTATCATTCTCTGTGTGAATCAGTTCCTTTTCTGTTGTACTCAAGAAATGCGAAAAAATAGAGCATT